CTGACCATGAACCAATATTAATAGGAGGCTTAGTGACCATGATTGCAAATGATATTGGGTTAAGACAACCATTTTTCAGCCTAGACCCACTAGAAGTAATACGTCCCATAAACATCCAGTTCTATTTTAATACCAGCTTCATTAGAAACCTAGGCCCGAATGAGTTTGAACTTCTTATCAATAATCAAGTTCTACACCTTTTCACCTTGCCAAATCCCAGGATTAGCGTACATGACAAAAATAACTGGTTGTTTGAATTAGATGAACCTCGAAATGACCCACCAACTCCTCCTGAGACACCTCAAGTCTATGACCACTTTGATAATTATATCTCTGAAGCTGAAACCGATCATGCGACCCCTCCATTCTACCATAATCTTCCATCCCCAAATCATACCGACACTATGGGTATCCCTCCAATCATCACACCACTTCCACATGAGGACCATCTACCTGACACAACCTCTTGTACCTCTGATTCTCCTTTTAATCCACCTCCTGATCACACTGCTTCCATCAACTCCCTCTGGACTAAGATTGCTAACATTAGAGACGACCTCACTTCTCAACGCGTCGATTTTGATGGGTTTATGGATGTAGTGATAGAGCAATTTGATAATATCTATCAACATATTTCTCCTTATCTTGGACGTAATGGCTAATTCTTCTGGATAATACTAGTTTCTTAAATTTGATTTGCATGTTTTCTAGATTAGATTTGATGCTTTTTGGTTATTTTGTAATTTTTCCTGCACTCTTATGTTACAGTAGAATCTTTCAATTTTTAGTATTTAATTTTACTTATGGTATTTTATTATTTTATTTTACGTTTTTCCATTTTTATGTGATTTATCTGCTATTGCGTGCATGAAGAATGTTTTACGGTAGAAACATGTTTAAACATTCCAGTCTATTCAGGTTTTAAACTTGTTGCGCTCGCCACAGGTCTGTGGCCCTCACCACGGTATCCAAACTATGTGGCCCTCACGACGGTTTGTATGGACCTCACGAATAGAAATAAGAGTGTTTTTATGAGACACTCCTCGTTTCCCTCTTCTTCTAGTCGACCCACTCTCTTCCTTTTTCAGCCCTTTCCAAATTCCACTTAACGCCCATTAACACCCACTCGCGTTTCACATTCCAATTTCCTTTCACCCTTTAAATTTCGTGAATTTCTCTATGTATCACACCTCTCTACTCACAGTGACCTAAGAGAACTAAACCCTTTCCTTCTCAACTTATTATATTCATCATGTCTCATCTCACTTAACAACCAAACAGAACGGCAAGACCATTACCAGATTTATCAATAATCATTTTCCGCACTGAGGATTTCGGCTTACAGAGAGAGAAGTAACTTAAGTTTTACCAATGTTTTGTCATCCCCGTAAGGTACATGGATGCGTCCTATTTGCATGAATTAGGGCTCTTAGATAGTGTTCAACGGATGCTGAATAATTCAAGTCTAACTCACATATGTTCGTTGAACCACCCAACCTACGAAACCTTTAACTCTGGAGTTCTTGAGTTTGTTTATTTACGACACCCCTATGGCAGAACCATATCTCACCAGAACTGCCAAGTTTAGGATTTTCAACAAAGAATAATCATTAAACCAAGATACCATAGGTGATATGTTACATTTTCCGCCTTGAGAAGATATCGCCTGTAGAGTTCCTTTTGAAGCGGAATAGAAAACCGTGGCATTTGGTATTTCGGAAAAGGTAACATGTGAGTTGACTCTAAACTGGGAAGGACTTAATGCCTCCCTAATCCATAATCCAGCCATACACTACTTTCACCTCATTCTGGAAAGCACCATTTTTGGAAGGATTAACAACCACAAGGTTAACTCTAAAGAGTTTTTCTTTCTGCATTGTATCTTTGCACCGACCGGAATCAACACCACTCCCTTTTTATTGGCACACATTCATTACATTTGTGCAATAGGAACCAATCCTTTATATATAGGAGGGATAGTCACATCCATCACTCTTTCCTTGGGCCTAGACGACAAACTCAATGATTTGCCATCAATACTAGCCTTGTACCTTGACATCGACAATTGTCCATTAACACACTTGATTAAAGTTAGAGAAGACGACAAGTATTATCTAATGGTCTGAAATAAAGCAGTCAAGAGTGTTATTTTGCCTTGTAGAAATCACACTAATGCATAAAATATGGTTAATTGGATTTATGATCTATCTACCATTGAGCCCAATGCACCTACACAATATGCACAAGATGGCCATACTGATGATGAGTTAAATGAGATGGAGAAGGGTGCCCCTGACGTTGATCCGTAAACCACACAGGTTCCTTCTGAAAGCATTGTTGGTACATCATCAAGATGCCAAAGAAGATGTGAAGAAACTTCTATAACATCTGATGACATTCTTGTTGAAATGAGGCGGCGTAATAAATTTGATGCTCAGCAGGACTAAAGACTTCAAGATATACAAACTGAGCAAACTGAGATGTTGCATCTCATTCAGCAAATTCATTAAGATCAGCGTGATTATAGTGACAGGAGTGACCAAGGAGTGTCAGGCATGATCGACCAGATGACAGCTTTGACAGTGCGTGTGGACGGCTTACAGGAGTACATTTATCATGTGGGTATGCCACCTCACCGGCCTAGTAATGGTGGTCGTGGAAGAGCACGTGGCACAGGCCACCAGTAGTATAGATTACAGGTTCTAACCTTTCTTTTTCACCTTATTTAGAAACATTAGGGACAATGTTTGATTTAATTGTGAGGGAGAAAGCTTTACTGCTTTTATTATCAGTTTATAGGTGTTGTACCCCAATTTTCCCCCCTAAGATCCCTCATCATACTCTGTACATCTCACACATAGCATTGGTCTCATGGTTATAAGATCAAAGAGCTTTGGCATTAGGGTTTCTCTCTCTGAATGGAGGTTGGTCGCTTCAAATGCAAGGTGACTAGAATCTGTGGATTTAATTGAGATTGAGGTACATAACCTTCATTAGGTCATCTGACGCATCATGCATCATTAGTCAATAGTTTGGCTTGGGACCATGGATTTCGAGGAATTAGGTTTGTTGTATGGCTTTAAGGCTCTTATCTTTGCACAAGCTTGTTTCGGTTGATTTCTCAATCAATAATTTGTTCGAATTAGGATTGTATTTCCTGGACTTCTTTATCATCAAATTACAGGGATATTCTTTCTCCTTAGCATCAGGTTGCAATCTTTCTTCAATGATTAAGAATTAGGGTTTTCTTCTGTGGATCATTGGATTAGGGCTTGATCTTGTGGTTATCTTGAGTTTCTCCTTCTTCAACATTGTGGACTTGTTTTGAATGATACAGTTTTTGGTTCTCATCAAATACTTGTTACTTCCGTTGCAAGGTAACTTGGGCTATTGAGAGGGATTACTAGTGACTTGGATTCATTGAAACTTCTAATCATGCTCAGAGTTAATATTGATTCTAGGGGCTTATTAAGTTCATGACTTTGTTGACGGTTGATTCAAGATAGGGTCAGGAGCTTATTTAGCTCATTTTATCAAATGAAAGATGGTTGTTTTAAATGCAAGATGACTATAATTTATGGATTCAATTGAGATTAAGGTTCATTGACCAAGCATGCCATTTGAAGTCAACTGAGATTCGACTTGTCGTGAACGCTTGAGTTACATTAAGGATCAATTTAAGATGAATATGGAATAGAAGTTTTTAATGTTATTCAAGGATAAGTCATTTAACTTGCTTTAAGAACAAGATATATGCGAGAGATGTTACAGGGCTTGTGGATAATTTTCCTGGTTTTCTTGTACTCATAATATAAGTGATTCATCAATTGGCTTTGCTTAGAATTTGGATTATTTTTTAGATGCAAAAAAAATAAGATTTTGAACTTGAGGTTAAAGAAGGGATCGCGATTCATTCAAGATACATTTTGAGAAGATGTAAGCATAAGAGAATAAATTCAAAGACAAGTAAATTAATTCAAAGTCTCTTTTCTTGATTCAACCATGGTTATCAGATAAATCTCTAGACCAACCATAATCATCAAAGACTTCTTCCTCAAATACTAGGGTTTGTCCATGATATGAAGTGTCTGGTTTCATTGTGGCTTGTAATACAAGTCATTCGATTGAATTTCATTCAAAGGAGCTTGTAACATAAACGTGGAATTCTTTTGAATCTTGGATTGAGATGTTTCTTATACAAGTTTGCAAGTATAATGTGAGTTAGGTTTTATTTCCTCATTAATGTGATGGCCATGGAGTTTCTTTGGTGAGGTTTTACTTCTCTATAAGTTTGTTTAGTCAGACGACATACTTGATATCACTTGGGGTTGAGAGTTAAGTGGGTTTTGTTCATTGAGGTTGATATCATTTTACTTAGGATGCTAAGTTTTGTTTTGAAGGACTTCATTCAAAAAGAGGAGTTTGGACATGGAGTTCTGCATCAATTGAGTTTGATTATTTCAAAAAGGTTTTGGACTAAAATCATTCTTAATCCAAATGTTGATTCTTGATCTTATTGATAGTAAGGACTTGAAAGTGCAAATTCATTTGAAGGAAAGGAGTTGTTGCCTTACATCGCTTTAGTTAAGCAAAGTTCAAGGGGAATGGTGATTTGAGAACTTCAAGATCATCGGCAAGAAATGGCAAGTTATAGTATCACCACTCAAGATCATTATTAATCAAACACCACTCATAATTCATCATTCAAAACTCAAAGTGATTCAAGATGGTTGTCCAATCAAATTTCATTCAAGTATATAAAGTCCATACAGAGATTTCAAGATGCATTCACCAAGATACATTCAAGGCATTATGCACATTGCATGAATGAAGATTACATACGAGAATCCTATTATTATGAACCTATTCTAAATGGATTCACATTCCAAACGACCATGCTTCGTTGTAACTTCATATTTCTTTAATGTGTTGGACACCAGTACCTACTGTACAAAGAAATAGCCCTGCATTAGAAAATCCGAAGAGTTAAGAAGAGTCTGTCAAGCATTACAGCCTTTAGAATTCATCGCGATTTGTAATACTCCTTGCTCGTCATCTTCTTCCTTGTTATCTTCATCTTCTATGACCAAGCATTCCGCCTGAATGGCCAGACTGCAGGCATGGTTACTGTTGGTACCGTAACATTCACCAGCATCATCTGGGCTATCAACGGCCAGATTGCCTTGACAATGAGCCATTTTACATGGATACAACACCTATTTGTGTGGGGGAGTATTTCCAGTTGGTACCTTTTTCTCTTTTTATATGGCCTGCTTCCTCCACGACATTCCAACTTTCCATACCAAATATTGGTTGAAATGTTTGCTCCTGCTCCTATTTATTGGACAACAACCATTTTAGTAATAGTTGCGTGCAATCTTCCTTATCTTGCCCACATATCATTTCAAAGGTGTTTTTATCCCATGGATCATCACATTATCCGAGAAATCAAGTACTATAAGAAGGACACTGAAGATCAACGCATACGCACGGCGGGACCGGCCCCCCCTCAGTAGCAGGAAAAAAAAGGAAGTTGTTCATCTAATGACATTGAAGATGAGAGCTCAACAACCCCTTTACCGATCCTGCAAAACCACATCACAAAACAGTTTTTCAACCGAATTCACAACAGAATCATATAAACATTTTTAACAGGAAAAACTCCTAGCCTCATACCTCTAACCAACTGTTTTAACATCCCTAACTGTCAACAGAACCCAAACCAACCTCTAACTGAAAAAACAGAATCTCAGAACCATATTTTCTAACAGATTTTCTAACCGCTTTTCTAACTAACAAAATTTCAAACTACTTGTAACTAACTAACCTCTATATCCCAAATCAATCAAAACTCCACAACAGAAAAACTAACCTAATAACAGATTTTTCAGATGAATCTCCACCATCCATTTTTGTAACAAACTGTCTCATCCAAGGGCCCTAGTTCAATCTGATATAACAAAATTTTTGCAGCTTTAACCACCTATATAACAAAGACTTCACCATTTTTCACACGTTCAAATTCTCTCTATTCTTCAGAACCTCCATCTTTCTACACTCTCCTCTCTCTGCAATTCTCTACTCAGCTCCATAACCATCGTCTTCATCCACCTTTATTCAATTCGGCTTCAAACACAACAATACCTTCACTCTCATCTCCACTTCCTCCATCTTCACAACTTCAAGGATCGCGTGTATCTTCATCGCTCTTCATCACCATGCTTCAATCTTGATTAAACAACAAATCTGGATCAGTCTTCTTCCCCGATTCTGACGCAAGCTTCATCAAGAATTCACAACCGCAACAACATCACGACATTGTCACGCATCGGGGAATCAAAGCAGAAGAATAGAACAAGAAGAAAAGTGAAAGTGAAGAAGCAGACGGACGAAGTAACCTGAATCTCCGAATCTCTGGATTTCTAGTTACATTCGCTACACTTGAAGAAGCACTGGACAGACTCCGGAAGGTAATTGCTGCAAACTCCCTTCTGATGTAGCTTAAAACACTTGAAATCCATAGCGTGCAATGTAGTTTTACAGTTTCGATTACGGGTTTGACGGAGTCATTTTAGATATCAGTGCGAAGGTGGATGAAAATGAACGGAAGTAGATCGGAAACATAGATTTGGCGAAGGTGAGACGATGGAGGTGTTCGGAGTAGGAGAGAATTCCGTGTTTCGATCTGTGAAGGGAGAAGGTTGGTCTTGAACGGCGAAGCCATAGAGTCATAAACTCTGAACCCTACCTAATCGTTAAACACAACTATTTTGGATTATGTTTTTCCTTTTCTTATAACTTATTCTTTTTTTTATAGTCATAAAAATAAATCTGAGGGAAATTAGAGTAGTGGTGGCCATTGTTGGACCGGGCCACTCTTCCTTTGGGTCCATTAAGCATTTTTGGAAAACCTAAGTAATTGAGCAAAAAAATGCTTGTTGGACTGCTTCAGACATGGGCCAAAATATCAAGGCCTGTATGTTTTATATAATTGAAGATATACAAAAAGAGCTTATGGACTTCAACATTAATTGGCCAGTGCCCAAATTTTCTATACCATACTCCCTGTGCCAGTTTCATACCCCCTGGTCCTCATATTCTCCTTATCAGATTTAGGGCTTTTCTCTTAATTTTTCTATATTTTTCCTATGACAAAATTATAAAATTAATAAAACTTGTTAGATATTCTTAGTTGATTTTAGGAATTAATTCTTTAGTTTTTAATAGAATTTTCTTCACATAAAAACTAATAAAAAAGGCTTTTTTTAGTTTTTATTCATATTTTCATACCGTTGTGTCTCGTTATTTTTGACGCGTTTGTTCATGGTGCAAGGTGCATCATGTAACATAACAAGTTGTTATGTGATCAAATCATACCGCTTATGCTCACTTCTAATGTGACATGCCTTATTTTCTCATCATCTTGGGAAATTCATATCATATTATATGTTGATTCTGATACATGTGATATTTTGTGGGACTTTGTACAGGAACTTCTGGTTACGCATTGCATTCATGACACACATTTGCCTTTATATTAGTTAGATATTGTTTCTGACTCTGTTTGTTTCTTGGTGAAGCTTGCGCGACACATATTCCCTGCTTCTCTAGCGCTTTCGTCTACTCTTGACGACTTGCTCGCTTTGGTAGTCTCCGCTACTACCCTTGTACTTCTTCGCACTTTATTACATTTCATTATCGCTTTCTAGATATCATGTGAAGTAGGAAATAAATAGCGTGCGCTCGAAGTCGCTGTTTAAAGACCTGTAGCAGGCATTCCGCACTTCATTTGCTATATGTGTTGTGTTTGTGTTTGTTTACTTTCTTGTTGATCGATGAGCCACTCAATTTAGAAATTGAGATCACGACTTTGCTCTCAGTGCATGCTCCCTATAGGATTTTATCGCTTTCCTTTATTTCTTGTTGATCGATGAGTCACTCAATTTAGAAATTGAGATCACGACTTCGCTCTCATTGCATGTTCCCTATAGGATAGTTTTGTTAGAATTTCTTTGGAATTCTAACTTAGATAGGATCTCTCTAGGTGTGCTCTCTTGATCTTATTGGCTTGTTGGAAAATCCTCCACAGTTTGCGATGATTTCTCTTATGCCTCTTATGTTGTTCCAGACAACATCATAAGAAGTGAGAGCCATAATCCGTCGAGATCAAAGAAGAGTATCCATGGAATCGACAAATGGTCCCCTCGTGGGCATATGCAGTATAAACCATTTGCACAAGAGAGGAATGCAACAGAAAACACTTACCTTTTTTCCATGCCGAGAATGAATGGAATAATAAGTGTTGGCAAGAATCGTCGGCACTGAGTTTCCATTCATCAAAACACAAATTGCTGAGAAGTCCACAAAATTATCTACATTAGGAAATATAACTATACCATAAATCATGGCAGCCAACAGTGCGTTGTACGCAAATCATTCCTTGTTATTCACAAACTCTTTAGCTTTGGTTATCATAAATCTTAGATGAAAACCATATGTGCAACTATGTTCTACCCAATTGTTTTTTACATCGCTAAGGTTCAAATAAAGAGCCTTAGCGATAGCCATATAATCAGGAATCTCATGCAGACAGACGAAATGTGTGCAACTCGAGATCTCGATATCAAGGAGATAAGCATATTCCTCAAGTGTGGGTGCTAGCTGATAGTCCTGGAAAGTGAAACAACACAGCTGTGGATAATAGAATTTCATTCTCATACCCGTCATTCAACAATGGAAACAAATTCCCATAACGATCTCTGAAAATCTTCTCATTTTGACCGGTCACAAGCATCCCCACTTCTCTTAGCGGATCCAAAGCAAAGCCATGAAAATGGTAACGAGATGTCTTCCTAAGCAAATATTTGCCTATATTTGTGTTGTTATCCATCCCAAATGAAAATGACGATCTCAGATTAACCTGGAAATGGCATGCATATGCAGCTTAACTTTTTTTCTTACATATTTTTTATACAATTCTTGTGTAAAAAATAAATATGCTATGATGTAAGTGAAATAATCATGGAATAAAGGTTTCCACAATATTGGTTGTTGTACAGTCTCTAAACATGCCAAGAATACCAGAATCACAAATCCGGAACATAACCAGAAAACCACAGTCACCAACAGAACATACAGCCACCATCAGAACAAAGTCACCATTTGTATCTATAAAGATTATTCCCACCCCACTCACGGGTGAAATCTAGATCAGGGTAAAGCCAATGGTAACTCAAAATCTCGGTTTTCTTGAAAATGCTATCATCATACATCTATGTGATAATGATAGTACCTCATTAAAACTTCATCTAAGCATGGATGACATGATCGCACTAGAAAGATCTACATCCCCTAGCCGTCATGTTCCACTCTATTCCTATGTGTTCCTAAGAGTTTACAACTCTAGCTGGGGTATGGGGCCTTTTACATCAATAATAACACCCACACAACAAGGAAACACAAAATTCAGCACAACACCAGTATATGGAAAGCGTTAAAGATGCAATGCAAACATATGCTTAGATAAATATGTACAAATGCATGATCGTAAAGAATAAAAAATAAACACCCAAAGAAAATAAAATAAGAACTAAGAGCTGAAACAACCGGCAAAACAAATCATCGAGAGAAAATCAATAAAGTCGTCATCGAATATTTTTTATCCCACGGGAAGGGAAAGGCAAACATCAACTAAACTTAAGAAGGATGACATCAAGGTAAAAAGACCGAGAGATGTGGTTAAGGGAGTCAATTATGCAAGAGGAAGGTATTAGCGCCCCTCACGTTTGTGGTACTCCACGAGATCCACTCTTGTTGTTCTAATCAAAGGGTGTGTTCTAATCTAAGGCTTACAAGTTAAAGGGAAAATGCAAAGAGGGAATGCATGCACAAGAAAACACGGGGAAAATAAGGAATATTTACAAGGTTTCACTCGCCTGGGCTCCATGACTAAATGCCTACATATCCCTTTTAAGGAATAAGAGCGTCGTAGTTTAGCTCAAAAGTTTCCATTTTTTGTGTTTTTTATGGATAATGTTGCATTCGTATCCTTACGGTTAGGATTACAATTCGTGCTTGGTGTTGCAGCTTGTAAAAGACTCATGCTCGGCCTCTTGCACACTTAGCATTTCCAAGTTGTTCGAATTTGAAATAACACATCCTTATTGAAAAGGTTTTAAAGGGAAAAAAAGGTCCGAAGACAAAAAGTTTGCATTGGTTTGTACTTTTTATTGCGAAAAGAATTTGCGACTTGAACCGTAATAATGTCCAAAAGTGAAAATATAGTGAGGCTCAGTCTAAATTGATTCTCTCTACCCCATAAGACTCAACTGAATACAATTTGAATCTTCCTTTATTAAGTGTTTTAGAATTTTCAAAGAAAAAGAAAGAGGTTTTAGTTTTAAGGCTTCATAAAGAAAAGAAAACATCTAAGGGAGACTATCTAGCTTTGTCCCTAATATTATCATACAATGATGGCCCTAAGGTTGAGGTTTGAAAGGAAAATTTCTACCTATGTTAGCATGCATGGATTACAATCCTAATGTCTAACTTGTATCGGAAATGAAACTAGCGAATCCTAAGGGAGCATACAAAGGTTATAACCTAATGGAAAGCATAAGCACAAGGTGTGAACAAACAAAGACAAACCGAAGCCAAAACAAACATCGAGTACGAGCTAATAGCAAACAAAATATTCCAAAGGATCTCAAAGTGGGAGTAAGGAACTCTTTCCACTAGATTTGCTCGAGCACCGACATCGAGTAACAACTCGGAGCATCAACGTCGAGCGACGTGAGCTAAAATCATCGAAACGAATGACAAAACAGGGGGTTGATTACGAAGTCTGCTCCATATTATTCGACTCAAAGGAATAGAATAGGAATGGTTCAAAGAATCAACGCATGGCGCGAGCTAGGTACGAGACAAACTAGAATGCATGGGGGCTGATTGCGAGCCCTCCTCCATTTTAATGACTCGATAGCAAGCACAATGTAAAAGGGAAGGGGGGTTTCCTACTTCGAGGACTTTAGAAAAATGCCTCTTTTGAGGATTTTAAACAAACAACAAGTAATTTCTCCTTTTAGAGTCTTTTGCAAACAAAAACATAGTCTCTTCAAGGACTTTAACATAATAAATGTCGCCTCACTTAAGGACTTTAAACAGATTTCCCACCTAAAGTAGGGACTCCCAGTCATGCATCTCTATTCCTACTTCTCATGGCAAGGAAACTAGTAAACAATGCGGAAACATAAACCAGAATTAGTATAATACCAAACGAACAAGAGTTCGTAACAAGCAAGAAAAAGCAGAATAACTCCGAAAAACTTCGCACAAGCTAGCATCAACAACACAATGGTCAGAAATGACACGCTCAACATAAGCATTAAAATATCGCATGTGACATGTGCATCAGACACATCTGCATAATAAACAGTACACCTGCACAAGATACACATCCAGACAAACAAACACAAGAAGTGTATATATCTCATAACATGAGAATCAATAAGCAAGCACGTCGGGAGTGTAATCAATCCACAAATAAAGTGGCATAGCATGTTTTTTGATCGAATGATCAATACATTAACGAAATGATCGAAAGCTCTCAAAGTACCTTGCACAAGTCAATAAACACGTTAGAAATAACAAGGAAACGAAATCGGAGTAATGCATTCTCATCACAATTAAATTTGAGATTAAATCATGAAGAAAAAGAAATTAAATGCACAATGGAAGCACAAACATAAACTCTGGGCAGCAACTTATTACAAATGCGAGTGCATGAAAATTCATAATAAAAATGAACGAAAACGCTACTGGTAGCCACCAAACTTATCAACAAGCTCAAATAAGCCAAGACCATGAATTAAATCACTTTGCAAGTGATATTTACCATTCCCCGGCAGAAACTCCATAAACATGTGAATCGTGCAAAATTTTGATCCTAAATCGAGGAAACTCTACACAAATGCCATCCAAGTACCAAAACCAAGTACCATGAGCATTAACCATCAAAGAAATGTCGCCTTATGCTCAACTTACCATAAACGGGCAGCATTGCGCCATAACAAAGCATTGCTCGGAAAATTGTAACAGAAATGGTATAATTCAACCATAATGGTCCATAAATGCATAAGCAAGCATGAATAAGCAACAAACAACAATTGAGAAGCCATTTGCAACATATTTATAGTTTCTGGGAAGCAACACACATATGAATCGATATCGGTAAAAACCAGATTTAAGAATCACCAACTGACACATAAAAGCATTTACCGATTCAAGTAATGTCGCTTAGAAACTATAACTACTTTGCAACAGTTAATTTCGCATATTCCAAGTCAAAAACAACACAATTCAAGTGTTAAAGAAATTTCTGGATTTGGGGTTTTTTATGTCGAAAACTTGAATTTATCTACAAATTGACACGAAAATTACATTAACTCATGAAAACACAATTAAATATCCTCAAAACTCCATAATCGATATGTAGATCTAAAATTCAAAATCCAAAAACTATCAACAATTTTACCGAATAAAATCAATATCTATATCTATTATGTCATTAATAAACCAATTCCATACCTCAACACTATTGGAATTCAAGAATCAAGTTTAATTCAACAATTAAACCTCAAGAATCACAATCCAATATTCAATTCAATTCCATGTGATAATCAATTTCTCAATTCACCAAATTACTTATGCAAATAAACAATTAAATGCAAGAGAATTCAAGAATTACCAAAAATTGAATCGGAGAATCTGAATAGAATATCGAAAAACATGATCAAAAAAATGGAGTATGTCTGTGGAATCATGACCGGAGAGGCTGGGAGAATCGCGCAAGGAAGCAAGGTGCGACGGAGGGGGTCTACACGTGAAACAAAGGTGCACCGAAGAACGAGTCGTGTAGGTTGGAGCGCACGGAAGAGGGTGATCGGTGATAGGCGGTGCGTAATTGAGCTTGTGGAGGAGGGGCATATGCTTGCAGAAAATTGAAGGAGAAAGATGAAGATCTTGATGAAGTTTTTGAGTTTTGGTCTTGAAGCTTCTTGAGGAAGTTGAGAGAGAAATGAGAGAAAAGGTGAGTTTGATTCTTGAGATGTGAAATTATGAGTGCTCTTCTTGTTTTAAATTTGAAATTTAAAATATATAGCTTGGCTACAAAACTTGAGTTTTCAAATTATTTTGTACACTGTCGATATCGAAACCACAAGCTCATAATAATCAGTGTGAAATCTTGACGCATGACTTGAAACAAAAATGTTGATGACGATATTTGTGACGCGATGCCAAAAGAATCTTCTTAATATGATAAAATGAGCAAGTTATGTCTCCCTGAACAGAGAGAAGTGCATTGTAAAAATTCACTATGCAGAATTTTACAACTTATATTATGTACAACACACAAACAAACCACAAGCTCATGATGTTTAATGCAAAATCCGTATACGAACCCAGAAGCAAAAATGTCAGCAATGAGATTTGTGACGCCTTGCCGAAACAAACACCGTGATACGATAAAAATCGAACAAGATATGATTTTTCGAATGGTAAGAAACAGTGGACTTATTTCACCATCTTGAAATTTTTAGCTTATTTATGTGCGCACTTTTGAATGCGAGCCATAAACTGAAACCTTCGAAGCACAATCTAAACTCGGGCCATAAATCAAAGTTGAAGCTTACAAAATTTTTGATCTCACACTTCAAGATTCATCGTAATATGATAAAAATCGAGAGAGTTATGATTTTTACAATATTGAGAAACATTCCAGTAAAAACAGTTTTGGCATGCAATATTCTCTAGTAATTGGCACTTTTGGAAATATTCTACAAAGAATTAGCTCCTGGCCCGAACATATGGATCGAAGATAAAATCGAGATA